GTACATGCGCTTGCCAGAAAGACAGAGAGAGACAGAAAGCGAGAAATCACCCCCCAGGAGGGATGGCCACGCTGCAATCCCTTTTCCTCCATTCTCCTCTCAGGATCTTGGGCACGCATGCACACGCGCCTGGCGTAAGTTAAACCGCCGGGTCCAGGACTCGAACCGCGGTCGACTACATGGGAGCCCAATGACATAGCCATTATGTTTACTGCTGGTCCCTATTCTCAAATATTTAATCCATCTACTAGGTTATTGGGAAAGTCATAACATATTTTTCTATGCAAAATTGCTCATGACTTTCCCAACGACCTAGTATTATGAATGGGGCCTCCTCTGACCATTTCCCGTTCTAACAGTCTCTCTTCCTTCCCTGTTTCCCTTTCCTCTATTTTTCCTTACGGCATATAGTCCACTTGATACACTACATACTTTTCTTATTTGTTTGTTGTCTAACTCTCTCCATTAGAATATAAATCCCATGCGGCCAGCCGAGTGTGGTGATTGAGGTGGCTGGATCCCACATGGCTGACTGCATGTCTCAAGTCCTGGAACTGATGACTTGAAAAACATGCTGGGGATGTGTGCGTGCCCAGAATGCTGAGAGGAGAAAGAAAGGAGAGGGGATTGTAGCATGGTCATTCCTCCTGGATGATGCTTTTTCACCTTCTCCATCTCTCTCTCTAGTGAGCACGCATACTAGCAAATTAAAAAAGAAAAAGAGAAAAGAATGTAAACACCATAAAGACAGGGATTTTTGTCTTTCTAAAATATTTATTTATTTAGATTTTTTCTTTTTTTGCTGTAGGGCACATACACTCACTAGAAAGAGACAGAGGGACAAAGAAAGTGAGAAATCACCCCCCAGTGGGGATGGCCACTGCCACAATCCCTTCTTCTCTATTCTCCTCTCAGGAAAACATGTACCTGGTATGTTTTTCAGGCCACCAGATCTGGAACTTGAACCACAAAGTTGGCCATGTGAGATCCAGTGCCTTAACCTCAGTAGCACTTGCTGCCACCCTCCTCCCCGCCACCTTTTTTTGGGAAATTTTTGCTGTAGGGTGCTTGCCTCAGAGACAGAGACAGACAGAGACAGATAGAAAGCCAAAAAATCACCCTCTAGGGGAGATGGCCACACTGCAATCCCTTCTCCTCCATCCTCTTCTCCCGGTGTGAGTTTGAAGCCACTGGGTCTGGGACTCGAAACACAATCAGCCATGTGGGAGTCCAGCAATGTAACCATTACACACCATTTGCTGGTCCCCAACCCCGTTTTTAAATTTACCATAGGGCTCATGCATTGCTAGGAGAGAGACAGAAAGGGAGAAAGAATAAGTGAGAAAACACCTGCCAGGGAACATGACCACCTGCAATTCCTTCTCCTCCACCTTTCTCTCAGGATTTTGGGCATACATGCACATGTGCCAGGCATGTTTTTCAAACCCGTAGGTCCAGGACTTGTACTGCACAGTTGGCCATGTAAAATCCAGTCTCCTTAACTACTGCACTACTGGCTGGCTTGGTTTATTCTGTTTTTTTCTTTTTTTATCCACTGCTTAATGTCCAGTGTTTAGAATAGTTCCTGGTGCACAGTTGAGACTCAATATTTGTTGAGTGAATGAATTTGTTGGAATTTGGTGTATCTATTGGGTTGTGTGCAGCATTATGGACATGATGAACATTCTGTGGGGACTAGCAGTTGGTGTAATGATGAATATTCTGTGATAAATATCTTGTTGTATGCATCTTTGCATACTTATCTACTGTTTATCTACTTAAGATAAATTTCTAAGAAATAGAGTTAAAAGATACATACTTTTTTTTAGGTTTTTGCCACAGTGCATGTACACTTGCCAGAGAAAGACAGAAGAAAAGCAGGAAATTACCCACATGGGGGGTGCCCACACTGCAGTCTCTTCTCCATTTTTCTCTCGGGGTTTTGGGCATGAACATACAGATGCCCAGCATGATTTTCTTTTCTTTTCCTTTTTTTTAAAAATTATTTTATTTAATTTTATTTATTCTTTCATTTATTTTAATTTGACCAGAGAGAGAAACACAGAGAGCATGAGAGAGGGAAAGTGAGAAAGCAAGCCACCAGGTCCAGGACTCGAACCATAGTCGGCCATGTGGGAGTCTCCAGTGCCTTAACCATCATGCTACCTGCTGGTCCCCAAACCAGCATGATTTTCAATGCTCCGGGTTTGAGACTGGAAATGTGTTCAGCCATGTGGGAGTCTAGCACTTAACCACCATGCCACCTATTAGCCCCAAAAGACATATAAATTTAAAGTGTCAATTCATGGAGCCAAGTTACCCTTTTAAAAATGTTTGTTTGTTTAATTATTTATTATTTTAATTCACCAGAGAGAGAGAGAGGGAAAGTGAGAAAGCGAACTCCACTCAGCCGTGGAGTCTAGTGCCTTCACTGCCACACCATCTGATGGCCTCTCTCCATGATTTTTTTTTTTTTTTGAGAGGTTTTCGCTATAGGGTGCCTGCGCTCGCCAGACAGACAGAGAGAGACAGAGAGACAGAAAGCAGAAATCACCCCCCAGGGGGGATGGTCATGCTGCAATCCCTTCTCCTCCATTCTCCTCTCGGGATTTTAGGCACGCACGCACATGCGCCTGGCGTGAGTTTTAAGCCACCGGGTCCGGGACGCGAACCGCGATTGACTACGTGGGAGTCCAGCAACATAGCCATTACTCTAACTGCTGGTTCCCTCTCCACGGTTTTAATAGCACTGAGTGTTGTGTTTTTCATCTTCCCTGTCTGACAGTTGGGACATGGCCTTGTAACACCGTGGTTAAGAATATGTCTCTAGACACAGCCTTTTGGGGCCTGAATTCTCACTCAGTCATTTACTATCCGTGTGACTTTTGGTAAGTTATTTACCTTCTCTGTTCCTAAGTTTCATCACTAGTAAGGTGGAGGAATGATAGCACTTATTTTGTGGGGTTATTATGGGAAATAAATAATTTAATCCAAGTAAAATGTTTAGAATAGTAACTAAGACATAGCACTCAGTAAATGTTTTAATTTGCATTTCTTTGAATATTAAAGGTTAAATGTCTTTTCAGATGTATTTTAGACATTTGTAATTTTTTCTTTGAATCACTTATTTATTCTTTGCACATTTTTCCAAAAATATTTTCGAATTAATTAGTGAGTTAACATGTCGATTATCATGTATAATGCAGAATTGTTCCCATTTTGTAATTTTTCAACTTGATTTCTGCAGATTTTTTTTGTCTCCAAGTTTTACATATTTAGGTAGTCAATTAGTATTTTCCCTTAGTTTTTTTTTTTTGGAGAGTTTTTTGCTATAGGGCATGTGTGCTTGCCAGAAAGACAGAGAGAGAGAGAGACAGACAGAATGCAAGAAAAATCATCCCCTGGGAGGATGGCCATGCAATCCCTTCTCCTCCATTCTCTTCTTGGGATTTTGGGAACACATGCGCCCAGTGTGAGTATAAACCACTGGGCCCAGGACTGGTCGACTGCATGGGAGTCCAGTGACATAGCCATTATGCCACCTGCTGGTCCCTCCCTTAGTTTTTTCTGCCCCTAGACTTATGTTTAGGAAAAAGTGTGCTTCCTTACCTCAAAATTATAAAATTAGTTACTAAAAATTGTCCTTTTATAGTATTGTGTGTGTTTAAATCTTTACATTTAATCTTTAAGTTAAAATCTTGAATCCATCTGGAATTATTTTAAAAGAATTATTTTCGGGCGCGTGTGCATGCGTGCCCAAGATCCCGAGAGGAGAATGGAGGAGAAGGGATTGCGGCGTGACCATCCCCCCTGGGGGGTGATTTCTCGCTTTCTGTCTCTATGTCTCTCTCTGTCTGTCTGGTGAGCACACGCGCCCTACAGTGAAAATCTCTCCAAAAAAAAAAAAAAAGAATTATTTTTATTTAACTTTATTTATTTTAATTTGACTAGAGAGAGACAGAGAGATAGAAAGCGAGGGAAAGTGAGAAAGCAAGCCACCAGGTCCAGGACTCGAACTGCTGTTGACCAAGTGGGAGTCCAGCACCCTTAACCACCATGCCAACTTCCAGCCCCTAATTTTAAAGTTTTTTTAAGGAGAGATTTTTACTATAGGATGAGTAGCACTTGCTGGAGAAACAGAGACAAAAAGTGAGAATCACCCACCAGGGGAATGGCCGTGCCGCAATCCCTTTTTCTCCGTTCTCTTAGGATCTTGGGCATGCACATACATGTGCCCAGTGTGTTTCAAATTGATTATCATCAGTTTGACCAGAGAGAGAAAGAGAGGAAAAGTGAGAAAGTAAGCCACCAGGTCTGGGACTTGAACCATGGTTGGCCATGTCGGAGTCCAGTGCCCCAACCACTACACCACTGGCTGGCCTCTGAAACCCACTTTTTGAAGAAGGATCAGGAGCAGATATCTTTAATCTGTTATCCCTTCCTTATTTTTTTTTAAGAGATTTTTACTATAGGGTACATATACTTGCAGAGAGACTATAAAGAGAGAAAAAGAGAGAAATCTCCCTGCTGCCATGCCACAATCCCTTCTTCTCCATTCTCCTCTTGGAATTTTTGGGCAGGCACACACATGTGCCAGGCATGAGTTTTAAACCACTGGGCCTGGGACTCAAACTGTCGTTGACTACATGGGAATCCAGCAATGTAACCATTACCCCCAAAAAGGGAGGGAAAGTGAAAAGTCAACCCCCACAAGGGGGAATGGCCACACTGAAATCCTTTCTCCTCCATTCTCCTTCAGGGATTTTGGGCATGCACGCAGAGGCGGCTAGTGTAGCTGAAGTCCTGTGGAGTTGGCTATGTGGGATCCAGTGCCTTAACCTCCATGCCACCTGCTGGCTCAGTAAAAATTACATTTAAATGTCTGCTAAATATATACAGGTCCATCAGAGTTTCCTTTCTTTCATTTTGTCCCTATAATGAGGCAAGGGCTTTTGTTTTTGTGTTTGCTTTTTTTTTTTTTTTTTTTTTTTTTTTTTTTGGTCATAGAACATGTGCACTTGCCAGAGAGAGAGAAGGAGAGACAATGAGAGGAAAAGTGAGAAATCACCTCTCAAGGGCAGTGGCCACACCACAGTCCCTTCTCCTCCATTCTCCTCTTGGGATTTTGGGCACACAAGCGTGGCATAATTTTCTTTTTTTCCCTTATAATTATTTATTTTTATTTATTTATTCATTCATTTATTTTAATTTGACCAGAGATAGACAATGAAAGAGAGAGAAAAAGTCAGAAAGCAAGCCACCAGGTCCGAGACTCAAACCATGGTAGACCACATGGGAGTGTCCAATGCCTTAACCATCAGGCCACCTGCTGGTCCCAACATGGCATAATTTTCAAGCCTCCAGATTAAGGACTCAAACCATGGTCATCCAGGTGGGAGTCCAGCACCCTTAAGCACCATGCCACCCACTGTTTACCCCTCTCCTAATTTGATAGTGCTTGTTCTTTTGTATATTACATCCATGGAAACTGTAAATCTCCATTTCAGAGAGTGGGTTTAATGTTTGGATACAGTCAAAAGTCATTTAGTTGCTAAACTGTGAAATGAACCTGCCATGTAAAGCAGTTTGGGATCCAGATTCACAATCTGAGTTTTAGGTGATGACGTTGTCGTCTCTCTGTTGTGTAGCTTCTTGTCTCACTCTGGAAGCTTTTCCAAAGTAGGTCTTAACTAGGGGACTGCTTTGAAGGGGTCATTATTCATTTGGAGGGATAAATTCTGTCTTCAAAAAGTGAGTGAATGGGACCAGCAGGTGGTGAGGTGATTGGGGTGCTGGACTCCCATATGGCCAACCATGGTTCAAGTCCCAGACCTTGAGACTTCCTTTCTGTCTCTTTCTTTCTCTCTCTCTGTCTGTCTCTGGTGAGTGCACGAGCTCTATAAGAGCAAAATAAAATAAATAAATAGATAAATTTTTAAAAGAAATGAAGTGACTGCAGCAGGTGTATGTTCTCCCTCTGTTCTGGGGTTATTGATAGGGTATTGATAAGGGATATGTTGAGTGGTAATAAGCCTATTTTTTTTTAAACTCTGCTCTCATCAGCTCTTTTTTGAACTTTTTTTCACCCAATTTCTTGCCTGTGACACAAGAGGGAGGATGATTCTTATATAACAGATCCCCCGCATACCCACTGGCATCTGCTACCTGCCAGAGATAATGAAGAAGGGTAGCTAACCTTTGCATAGTCTACTTTACGTGCCAGGCACAGCCCCGAGCACTTACAGAGACACGTGCCTTATGAGGCAGGTACTCTATACTGGGTTGATTAGTATGTCCCAAAATGCATGTGCACCCAGAACCTCTGAACGTGATCTTGTCTGGAAATGGGGTTCTGCAGATGTAATCAAATTAAGATGAAGCCCTACTGGTGGGTCCTAATCCAGTGACTAGTGTCCTTATAAGAATAGAGACACACACAGAGGGAAGATGGTCATGTTGAGATGGATGTGAAGATTGGAGTTACACTGCCACAGCTAGGGAATGGCTCCAGCACTCCAAGGATTACCAGCAAGCAGCAGAAGTTAGAAGAGGCAAGGACAAATTCTCCTGTAGGGTCTTCAGAGGGAGCATGACCCTGCTGACCCCTTGTTTCCAGACTTGTAGCCTCCAGAACAAGGAGAAAATAAATTTGTTGTTGTTGTTATTGTTTTTTTTTTCTGTATATTTCTTTATTTTAAATTTTTTTTATACATTCAATCACATTATTTAGCTTACAAAGTGAACATTTCAATAGTTTTTTTTTTTTCTTTTTTTTGGAGAGGTTTTTGCTATACGGCGCGTGTGCTCCCCAGACAGACAGAGACAGACAGAGAGATAGAAAGTGAGAAATCACCCCTCAGAGGGGATGGCCATGCCACAATCCCTTCTCCTCCATTCTCTTCTCGGGATCTTGGGCACGCATGCACACGCGCCCGACGTGAGTTTAAGCCACCAAGTCCGGGACTCGAACTGCGGTCAACTACGTGGGAGTCCAGCGACAGTCCAGCGACATAGCCATTATGCTAACTGCTGGTCCCGATAGTTGTTGTTTTTTGAGAGAGAGATTTTTGCTATAGGGGGCATGCATTTGCTGGATAGACAGACAGAAAGCGAGAACTCACCCCCATGGGGGATAGCCATGTTGCAATCTCTTCTCTTCCATTCTCCTCTTGGGATCTTGGGCATGCATGCACATGTGCCTGGCGTGAGTTTTAAGCCACCAGGTCCAGGACTCAAAGTGTGGTTGACTACATGGGAGTCCAGTGATATAACCATTATGCCATCTGCTGGTCCCAATTTCTGTTGTTTTATGCCACCCAGTCTGTGGTATTTGTTATGGGAGCCCTAGGAAACTAACACTCTTATTATCACTTCCATTTTCAGGTGAAGAAAACTGAGGCCCAAAGAGGTCAAATGTGTTAGATCTCTGTAGCCCCTGCTCTGCTGGCGGTGCACTGACTGTTACTCTGCTGTTGTATTGTTGGCACTTCATCTTCACCACAGCCATAGGCTGGCAGTGCCAGATCTACTGGAATAGCTCTTTTCTAACACATCAGGCTATCCTCATCCTTACCCACTTCACACTGTGAGGCAGAAACTCCTCTCGGGAGGTTACTCACTGTAGCCTGACCATTTCAGCAGGTCTCCTCTCCACTCCACCCTCCCATTCCTTCCCTGCTCTTTTACTTTTCCTTTCCATGCAGTGTCAGAGAAGTGTGGAGGCAAGATGTTGAGGGCGATCACCTAGCTTTTTCTAAGTGTCTTTATGCTCCCCACTTCTGGCCTGCTGTACCTTTAGAATTCTTGTTAGTAGACAACTGAAATCTTGTCTTTCTTTGGTGCTTCAGGGTCTCACATGTAGCTCACAGTCCACACTGAGTAAAGAAGGGGCAGCTTCATGGTGGCATTGACTATAAGGGCACTAGTCACCATGTTATTGATTAATTCAACCCACTACACTGGCTTTCTCCCTGCCAGAGGGAGTGAGGGCATGAAGGCCTTATCCAGACTAGCTCCTCTCCCTGAATACCTGCCTGCTAGCTCATGGGCTCTTCTGCTGGCATCTCATTGACGGCTGTGGAATCTTGTCTCTTTTCTAATATAGACCCTTGGTTTTGGATCCTGCTCTCATTTTCAGCCTCTTTCACTAGACTGAATTCCAGGAACATAGGAACCACATCTATTTTTTGTTTGCTGCTGTATCCCAGATCTAAGCAAAGGCCTGGCACTTACCTATTAAGAGATGTTTGTGGGACCAGCAGTTAGTGTAATGCTTTGTCGCTGGACTCCCATGTAGTCAACCGTGGTTCGAGTCCCAGACCTGGTGGCTTAAACTCACGCTGGGTGTGTGTGCGTACGTGCCCAAGATCCCAAGAAGAGAATGGAGGAGAAGGGATTGTGGCATGGCCATCCCCCCTGGGGGGTGATTTCTTGCTTTCTGTCTCTCTCTCTCTCTCTGTCTTTCTGGCAAGCGCACGCACCCTATAGCAAAAAAAACTCTCAAAAAAAAATGTTTGTTAAATGAAGGAATGAATATTGACTTGAGGTTTCTAACTGTGGTTTTCTCTGCTTTTTCCTGACATCAAGGATCAGATTAATAACTCGAAGAGTCCTGGAGCCAGGGCTGGCAGGTGGTGTGGTGGCTAAAGGTGCTAGATTCCCACATGGCTGACTGCAGTTCGAAAACTGGACCTGGCAGCTTGCTTTCTTGCTTTCCTTTTCTTTTTCTCTCTGTCTCTGTCTGGTCAAATTAAAACAAACAAACAAACAAACAAAAAACAAATGGAATTAAGTAAACAAATAATTATTTAAAAAAAAATAGGGGTCGGCAGGTGGTGTGGTGGTTAAGGGTGCTGGACTCCCACATGGCTGACCATGGTTCAAGTCCTGGACCTGGCAGCTTGCTTTCTCTCTCTCTCTCTCTCACTCTGTCCCTCTCTAGTCAGATTAAAAATAAATAAGTAAATGAAGTTAAATAAAATAATTCTTAAAAATAAAAAGAGTCCTGGGGCCACCAGATGGCATGGTGGTTAAGATACTGGACTCCCACAGAGCCGATGGCAGTTCAAGAACCAGACTGGCAGCTTGAAAATCATGCCAGGTGCATGTGTGTGCCCAGGGTCCTGAGAGGAGTATGGAGGAGAATGGATTGTGGTGTGGCCATCTCCTTGAAGGGCGATTTCTCACTTTCCCTTTCTTTGTTTCTCTCCAGTGAGTGCATACATCCTATGGCAAAAACCAAAAAAGAAGAAAAAAAGTCCTAAAAGATTATGATGTCTTTTAATCCTCAGTATGTGCAAGAACAGTATTAAATGCAAAGTCAGTATAAAGAAATCCAGCAAAGTATAAGGAATATGGAGGAAAATTCTGATTTTTACCATGGTGGCTATTTTGATAATATAAAATCTTTTAAAGTATTTGTTGTTGTCTCTTCTTTGCCAGTTCTCTAAGCACTTGATTTTAGGTAACCCTGCCTGGATCAACCCTCCTTCACCCTAGACTTAACATCAAGTTCCTCTAAGCACCACCTGCTGAATCTACCATCCATCCTTCCCTCCCCCACAGGGGTGTCTGATTCCTGAGATGCAGGCTGGGCTAGGGATCAAATAGAACATATGCAGTGTTGAAGAGTACCTCATAATGAGCACTGCCATGCTAAATTGTGATTTATAATCAGTATAGCACATTGTGGTAGAGGATTATACTTGGGCTGATTTTGGCTGTAATAATCTGCTTCTGTGATCCTGTATGTGGAAGGCCTAGAAATTTCTCTATGATTCTCCCCTTTGGATCATTGAGAAAGAAGATGCAGGTACATTCTGCCTCCTACATTAATCTGGGCCTTGCTGAAACTTCAGAGAAGAGGTATAATACTGGAAGTGGAGCCCAGGCCTCTCATAGACTGTTCCAAGGTTAGGACCATAGTCAGATCCCGTTACTTGATTCCAAAGAGTTTAAAATAGTATTGGAAACCTCCTAGGAAAAAAAGCACCACTGTAACTTCCTGACTAAGGAAGTGGTGTGTGTGGGCTAGGGCTGGAGGGGTAGCAAAGGCTCCCAGGTTCTATTCTGGACCTGTTATTTATTGAGCTGTGCTACTCAGCAATTTGAGCTGATGTTCTGTAGCTTTAGCATAGAGAGTAATAGAGGTGGTTGGCAGGGGAAGAGGCCAGCCCTTTGGACTTCTGTCCTCTAAGAGAATCTCACTATTCCAAGTCCTTTTCATTTGGATTTCCAAGGCCAACTCCCATATGACCAAATGCATGGTTTGAGTCTAAAATCTGGTGGCTTGAAAAACATGCTGGGGGAGACCAGCAGGTGGCATGGTGGTTAAAGCACTGAACTCCCACATGGCTGACCATGGTTCAAGTCCCAGACCTGGCGGCTTGTTTTCTCACTTTATCTGACTTTCTGGTGAGCACATGTGCCCTATAGCAAATTTAATAATAATAAATAAAAGGAATTCTTTTTAAAAAAGAAAAAGATACTGGGCGCATGTGTATGTGTGCCCAAAATCCCCAAAGGAGAAATGGAAGATAAGGGGTTGGAGTATGACTATACCCCATGGTGAGTATTTTCTCTCTCTTGCTTCCTCCCTCCCTCTGGTGACTGCGTGTGCCTTTTGGCACAATTAAAAAAAAAAGTTTCTCTTCACTTGACTCTCCCAAGTTTTGTTTAATTGGCTTTCTCCCCTCTTTTCCTCTTCTCCTTTTCCTCCTTTCTCCTTCCTTCCCTTCCCCTCCCCTCCCCTCTCTTCCCCTTCCCTCCTCTCTCTGTCCTTTTCTTTTTTGATAATTTATTTAAAAAAAATCTTGTTCATTTATTTATTTTTAATTTGATAAGGGAGGGAGGGAGGGAGAGAGAGAGAGAGAATGAGTGAGAAAGCAAGCTGCCAGGTCCAGGACTCGAACTACAGTCAGCCACTTGGGAGTCCAGTGCCCTTCACCACGTCATCTGCCAGCCCCTTCTTTTCTTAAAAGAGGCTTTCCCTATGCTGCCTAGGCTGGTCTTGAACTTGAGATCCTCCTTCCTCAGCCTCTTGAGTAGCTGGGATTATAGGCATGTACCACCAGCCATTTCAGCCTCCTTTTTAAAATGTAGAACCATCCCTGGAGAGTTGATACAGGAACCCAGCGATGATATTTACATTTCATCTCACTTGATTTCATGAAAATTGTTTTCTTTTTCACATTGTGATAAAGAAAACAGCTCTTGTAAGAGATGGGACTTGGACAGGGTTTAGGAAAGAAAGAAGATTAGTGTGGGCCCACACTTTGGCTTTGAACAGCCAGAGAAGTCTGAGGGTACCAGGTGCATAAACTACATGGAGAACAGAAACTCACTTTCACTGAGGACTGGGCATGTATTAGATGCTCTTTGTATATTTTCTTATTTAATTATAATACAAACCAATAAAGTCTCATTCCGTTTTTGCATATAGGCAAAACTTAAAGAAATTAAGGGTACACAGTAATAAAAGGCTGAACGAGGATTTATTTTTCCTCAGGTCTCTTCAGCTCCAAAACCCATTTTATTTTCACACGGCTTTTCTGTCTCTGGTGAAATTTAGGAAGAGGGGGTAGAGGAATAAGGAAAATAGGGAGATGCCATCATTTTCTCCCCAACAATTTTGCTTGTTGTGACATGTTTAGCCAGAGTGTTCTGTTTATAGAATACTAGGTTCTTTATATAGAAATGCTGCAATAACACATGTAGGCAAGATACCAATTGGCTGTAGGGAAGGATTTGAAAGAGCCTTTGTTCTTTACCTCTACTGGGTCTTCATTGCATTGTAGTCCATAAGCCATCAAAACACGGCTGGTAACTGGTTGACCTGCTTCTGTGGTGCTGTCCTATCATCCACACAAAGTCTTGATGGAGTAAGCTGTGATGAGGGCAGAGGTGAGGTCCTGGTGTGCCCTTACTGCAGGTACGGGGGCTGGTGACACCTGTTGTGTGACTATTACAGTGAATTATTACTGAGTAAACAAGAAGTGTCTCTCTTTTGCCTTTCTAAGGGAGACCAGATGGCAGTGGGTGCTGGCACAGAGCCAAGGGATCCTGGCCTCTGAGAGGAGACTGAGGGTGTCATGTGACAAAAAAAGAAAGGGGTCTTCTGTCAAGTGGTATAACTTTAAGGGTACCAAGACTGTGTCTTGCCTCTGAAAGACTTGCTCCAGCTGTTTGTTATTGCCTAGAATTTCACAGTTAAAACTTTTTTAAAGAATTATTTAATTGGGAACCAGCAGTTAGCATAATGGTTATGTCGCTGGACTCCCACATAGTCGACTGCGGTTCGCGTCCCTGACCCGGTGGCTTAAAACTCACGCCGGGCGCATGTGTGTGCGTGCCTAAGATCCCGAGAGGAGAATGGAGGAGAAGGGATTGCGGCGTGACCACCCCCCCTGGGGGGTGATTCCTCGCTTTCTGTCTCTCTGTCTCTCTCTGAATGTCTGGCGAGTGCACGCGCCCTATAGCAAAAATCTCTCCCCCCAAAAAAATATTTAACTGTTTGTTTATTTATTTATTTATTTATTTATTTATTTTAATGTGACCAGAGAGGGCCAGAGCAAGACAGAGAGAGGGAAAGTGAGAAAGCAAGCCACCAGGTCCAGGATTCAAACCATGGTTAGCCATGTGGGAGTCCGGTGCCCTTAACCACCATACCACCTGCTGGCCCCCACAGTTGAAATTTCTTTTTCTTGATTTAAATATTTTTTTCTAAGAATTATTTTTGTTTTATTTTAACTTCAGCTTTTGTTTATTTATTTTACCAGGGAGGGAGGGCCGCCAGGCCCGGAACTCAAACCATGGTTGGCCATGTGGGAGTCCAGCATCTTTAATCACCACACTACCTACTGGCCCCTTGATTTAAATCTTTAAAACCTTAACTAAAAATGAAGAGAATTCAGGAAAGGATTTGATTGTGAAACATCTTAATCATGTAAGTGGAAGTGTAAATGAATATATGAGGTTGATTTCTGAGAACTAAGGAAAGGATGGAGAAGATGAGACACTGTGCTCCTTCTTGTAGAGACAGGAAGGAGACACCAGTGTGTTAGAAATAAAGGCACAGGGGACCAGCCGGTGGTGTGGTGGTTAAGGCGCTGGACACTCCCACAAGGCCCCCCACGGCTCAA